ACATCAATTGCATTATCAAACAGAGACTAAATTGCCTCCATTGTAAAAATGTTTCCCATTTATTAATGTGGGAAAATCTCTCTTTTTTTAAAAAAACGAATTCCCCCTTAAGAAATCCCAGTTGACTCACCAAGTCTGCTGACAATGACAGTTCAAAGGATGGTAAACTGAGGCAGTTACCTAGTGTGGCAGCAGCCCAAGGAGGGGTCCAGCAAAAGCCAGAGGGAAAAAAAACTAAAGTGCCAGCTGTCTACTTAGGGGAACATGTGAAAGCAGCTAACCCCTGTGGCTTTAGGAGCCCCAAACCCTTTGGAGTTTTCTGCAGAGAGGCTGCAACAAAAACCTAGCTGGAGGGGTAGGGTCTCTGGCTGCGTGTAGCTCTGGCCTGAGCCAGTGACATTGGGTGCCAGATGTTGCTCGAATTTCTAAATGGTCTTTTAATAAAAAACCCAGAGCTAGATACTGAGGTAAATGCTGAAATATCAGAGAGACAGAGGAACAAGCCACAACCACCTCTTACCTCTAGGACTCCTCAGCCTGGAAAAGTTTTAGTTCCTGTCTCTTCATGCCTTATACACCTTTCTCTGCCCAGCCATTTCACTTCCTTCCTAGTGCTGGGATTAAAGGCTTGTGACTTCCAAGTACTGGGATTAAAGGTGTGTGCCACCACTGCCTGGCCTCTATGTTTAATCTCATGGCTTGTTCTGTTCTCTGATCCTCAGGCAAATTTTATTAGGGTACACAATCTATCACCACAGATAGTGGTGTCTCCCTGTTTATAAATTCCTAGTCACTGCTCACAGAAACGTAGGTTACATCACAAATAACCACATAGGGAGGGAAGTTTTAACCAAGACAGACATTCTAGGAACTTTATAGTTTCAAAATTTTTGCTTCGCTACTGTTGAGCTACCTCCCCAGGTATTATTTCTCAGACAGTCTTGCTATGTAGGTCAGGCTGGCTTTGCCCTTACTATGTAGTCCAAGCTGGCCTCACACGCATGATCTTCCTGCCTCAGACTCTAAAGTGATGAGATTACACCTTATTTGGTGAGTTTGTGTTTCATACTTAGGTCTGTAAATTAATTTGTGACAAGGGAACAAGATTTGTGCCCGGGTTCTTTTTTTTTTTTTTTCATGTTAAAATGTTGATTTCCAGTTGTTTGCTAAAAGGCCATGTTTTCTTCATTTTGTTGTCTTTATTTCAGATTAGTTGGAGGTCATCTGACTCTGTCTATCTTACAGGGTTTTTCAGTCTCTCTATTCTGTCTCATTGCTCCTTATTTCTTTTCTTTTTTTAACACTACACTGTAGCTCCAGAGTAGGTGGTGATTTGGGGTACACTCAGTCTTCCAGTTTTGTTCTTCTCCTTCAATCTTGTCCTGAATATTCTGGGTCCTTTACTCTACACAAGACTGTAGAATCTGTTCACCATCACACAAAAGTGCTAGAATTTTTACCAAAATGGCAATATCAGGAAGAAATGACTTTTAATATTATTCTTTCTTATTCACGGGCATGGGACTCTCTGTCCACTTCTTTAGTTCTTGTTAGCATCTTTGGAGTTTGTCACTTTCCTCAGATAGAACCTATATATATTTTGTTTTATTTACACCTAAGCATTTCATTTTCAGAGGACCTAATAGGCATTGGGCTTTAACTTCAAAGTCAGCCCTATTTCTTATAGAAAAGTGGTGGTTTTTGTTGCATTAACATCATATCCCACAAAACTTAATAAGCTCGGGATCATTTCCTCAACCCATGCCCTGTCCACCCTCTTTAGCTGTCGGTTGTGTCCCAGTATCGGGATGCATCACCAATATGGGGCTTGAATAATTTAACAACAATAAAAGGTTTCTGACCATTCGATGAATTTAACATCAAATGTGTAACGAATCTGGGTGTTTCTGGCTATGGTCATCCATGTTGTTTCACAAGTGTTCACTGCAGCTGTGGCTCTGCACAACACACGTTGCCAAGGACACGCCACCATGCCACACAGTGTCAGCAAACGTGGCCTGCAACACCTCAGCTCATACTTGAGACTGTGAGACAGGCTCCAGCAGCTTTACTGTACATATAAAGTTTCCTGTTCTTAGAGAAATATACCAGTTCAGTTGCAGAAAACAGTAACTTTGACTTTTCCTCCTGTCATTTCTTAGCATAGAAGTATCAAATTAGCATACCATCGCACTGGATTGTTAGCCAGACAAGTGCATCTACCTCATTATTATGTAAATTTGCTTTAGTTTTTAAAAAATTGTCAAGTTATAATATACACCAAAATTGTTTTGAAATAAACTCATGATTTATTATCTATAAATGTTTTATTTGCATCCCTATTTTATATTGTTTATATATCCAGCATTTTATAAATATTTCCCAGGCAAAGAGGTTGAAGAGACAAGTATAAAGAGTTAAGATGCCTTGGTATAGTTTACTAATAACACCATCAAAGACATTCTTAATTTCTTTTCTTTCTTTCTTTCTTTCTTTCTTTCTTTCTTTCTTTCTTTCTTTCTTTCTTTCTTTCTTTCTTTTTCTTGTGGTCTTGTTGTTTCTCAAGACAGGGTTTTTCTGTCTGTAGTCCTGGCTGTCCTGGAACTCTATCTGTAGACCAGGCTGGCCTTGAACTCACAGAGATCCACCTGCCTCTGCCTCTGGAGTCCTGGGATTAAAGGTGTGCACCACCACCTGGCAGCATGCTTAATTTCTATCACGATGAGTTTATTCTCTAGAAATTTTTATCCTTTTTAGATGTTTCATCTCTATGCTTATCTATCTGTTCTTCCACGCTGAGTTCCTAGAATCCACAGTGTATTTAAATTCATCATCTAATAGCTACAACAATCCTGCCATACCCTAATCTGCTTGTCACGTCTCTTCAGACTACGTGCTGCATTTTGTCATTTGCGTTTCCTTTTCAGTGTGTCTTGTATTCTTTTGCTGGAATCCAGACATAATCTATTAAGTGAGAGGAGTTAGAGAAGCTGGATCCTTTGTGATGTGGTGGGAAGAAGTCAGAGGAAGGAAGGCATTCTGTCTGTCCTCCCCTGATCAGGTTTCAGCTTTATATTGACTCTGTGACCCTAAACTACAGACTTCACAAAGGACTCCCAGTTTTTCTCCCACATTATGTGGGGCATGGCACCTAGAAGGAGATAGAATTAGATTTATTTCCCATCTGATTTTGTAGTGATTTTGCACTTTCGTTTCCTCCCATGGACATGAAGAGACCAGGTTCCTCTCTCTATACTGTTCACAGTCAGAGTTCAGGAGGTTAATCATTTAATAGGCAAAATAGATTTTCCTGGAGATGTATTTTGTTAAGAACAAGTATACTTTTAGGATGGCTAGTTTTCCTCCTCATGACAGAAGTGTGAAGAGATGTTGCCCCAGACTTTACTCTGGGCTGTAGAACTTACTGGAGGGCAGGTGTCCACTAGAGTTTTCAGCTCACCAGGACTTGTTCGTCTATACTGAACTTTAGCAGTGTGTCAGTCACATTTTGTTACTGGCAGGTACCCATCACTGACTTCTGTGGAAGTTTCTGCTTTGGTAAGCCATGATTCTCCAGACCTGCCTGTTGTTTCTCTAATTTTGAGAGCAATATTTGACCTATGAATGCATTGAGGAAAGTTGTTGATACTTTTTTCTGAGTTTGTTCAGTTTTTTATTTATTGTTAAAACGGACTGGTTACTTGTAAAATTTTTTTGCTTTCCAGATATGAAACCACAATATCTCTTTTAGGCAGTGAAGAATGAGTTAGTGGAAAATAGGTAGTGTGGCGGTAATCCTGGCGTCAGTTTGAGGATGCTGTGGTGGTTTGAGTGAGAATGTCTCCTCAGGCTCGGACGTTTGAACACTCGGTCCCCAGTTTGGCTAAGCTAAGATGTGTGGGCTTGCTGGAGAAAGTATGTCACTGGGGGCAGGCTTTGAGGTTTCAAAAACCATACTCCGTTCCCATTTCACTCTCTCTACTTCCTGCTTGCCCTTAGCTTCTGTTTGAGCCTCCACGTCTGCTTCTAGCTGCCAGGCTTCCCTGCCAGGACAGACTCTGGTCCTCTGGAACCACAAGTCAAATAAACCCTTCCTTCTGTAAGTTGCCTCACTCCCTGGGATTACAGGCATTAGTCACCATACCTGGCTGTTTCCAGTGTGGCCTTGAACTCACAAAGATCCAGGCGTATCTCTGCCTCTGGAATGCTAGGATTAAAGGTGTGAGTGCCACCATTTTCTGGCCTCTATCTAGTGGCTGTTCTGTTCTCTGACCCCAGATAAGTTTATTAGGGTGCACAATATTTTGGGGAACACAATATCACCACACCTGAGATGCACACATGCAGCTCTCATCTCTCCCTGGTGGGCCTGGATGTGGAACTGACTAAGATGGCCGGAACTGCGTGAGACTGTGCCCCAGCATTCCAGAACCTGTGACAATTCTGTTCTGTACAGTGAGTTTTTCTCCTTTAATAAATTCCTTTGCCTTTTAAGCAGACTCCAAGGATTTCTCGCTTTACCCTAGGGCAAGATGCCCTTGATTATGAGAATTCCACATTCCTCCGTCCTTGGAGACAGGGCTATCAGCAGCCTCCTAGGCCCCTAAGCCTTTGGCCTTACACTAAGAATTGCACCATTGGTCTCCCTTGTTCTGAGGTTTTTGTATTTGAGCTGAACCATGCCAGGTCCCAGACTCTGCAGCTTATAGAAATTCTCTCCAGCATAGAAATTCTTGGCCTCTAATTGTGCGAGTTTCTTTCTATAATAAATCTTGTCAGCTTGATATAAGCTAGGGTCATCTGGAAAGAAGGAACTCAACAGAGAACATGCCTCCATCAGCCTGGCCTGTAGGCAAGTGTGTGGGATTATTTTCTTGATTAATGATTGATGAGAGAGGGTCCAGCTCATTATGGGTGGTGCCACCTCTAGGCTGGTGGTCCTGGGTTATACAAAAGAGCAAGCTGAATGACTCATGGGCAGCAAGTCATAAGCAGTGTACCTCTTGGTCTCTGCTTCAGTTCCTGCCTTCAGGTTCCTGCCTTGAGTTCCTGCCTCGCCTTCCCTCGATGATTGACTGCAACCTGTAAGATATAATAAACCATTTCCTCTATAAGTTGCTTATGGTTGTGGTCTTTTATCCCAGCAACAACAATAAACAATAAGCAAACGAGAACAATCTGTAACTACTCTGTTGATTACATCTCTCTGGAGAATTCTAGCATAAGCAGGTTGATTAACTGGGTTGTATGTTGGGTTTTAACAGGAAGATGACCTTGTTAGAAATCATGTGTAATAGATTTTGGAACCTAGAAATGTGGGCAGCTCTTGGCTGTTCTCACAAGTCTGAACACTGGCTGGTTAGAAGCTGATCATAGGTGACCAAGCATGGAACAAATGAAGCAACTTAGATATGACCAATGGGCCTCCTTCTGTCCTCCAACACCCTGTCTGGACATGTTTTTCTTCATGTCCGTGGGAAGGAACAAAAGTACAAACAGAAACATGTAGGCAACTCTCTAAGGTTTTGTTTGTACAGTTTATGCTATAATCTCATTGTTCGAATCAAAGCACATGGCTGAGTTCAGAATCAAAGGGTGGGAAACGGATTCCTCCTGATAAAGAAACCACAGTTACACGGCCAAGGGCAAGGACACAGGAGGGGTGCACTGGCCAGTGTTGTGTCAACTAGACAGAGCTACAGTCACTGGATAGGAGGAGCCTCAGCTCAGAAAATGCCTCAGCACAATCAGCCTGCAGCCAGGCCTGTAGGGCATTTTCTTAATCAGTGATTGATGGGGGCAGGCCCAGGCTATAGTGGGTGGGGCCATTCCTGGGCAGGTGATTTGGATTCTATAAGAAAGCAGGCTGAGCAAGCCAGTAAGCAGCACCCCTCCATGGCCTCTGCATCAGCTCCTACCTCCAGGTTCCTGCTCCATTTGAGTTCCTATCTTGACTTTCTTCAATGACGAACAATGATGTGGAAGTGTAAGTCAAATAAGCCCTTTCCTCCCCAAGTTGCTTTTGATAATGGTGTTCATCACAGCAATAAAAGCCCTAACAAGACAAAGGAGCAAATAATTGGGGCCATAAGTGCAATTGGTCTCCCATACTGGCCCCAGATCTTCTAGTATATGACTATTGGCAAGGTACCTAGAAGTTGCCATTGGAAAGTACACACCTCATTGCCTGGTTGTCTGATCAAATACAATGGCCTGTAAAACACTTGGCACAGTGCCCGGACTGTGTAGGAAAGCTACAGGCACTGTGTTGGAGAAAGAGGATGAGTTGGGTAATTTGGCACTGTGGGTGTGGGTTGGAGTGATGTTGGTAAGGAAGTGTAAGGACAGCTCTTCAGTAACAGATGCCCGAGGACATGGGTAATTAAGACAAAGGTGGCCCCACTGACAGAGAATCTGGGGATCAGCAGCTCCGAGACAGATGACTTGATGTCTATTACTTCTGGATTTCTAGCCTATCCCCTGGGAATGTCATGTAAGGGATGAAGAGACACTGTTCGATGGCTTTTCCCAGCCCAGCACAAAAAGCTATTTAATTATCCTGCAGGCCAGAGTTTTCATTTGGAAAACTGCTGCTGCTTGCCGTTTCTTCTGTAGGGGCATGATCACTGTAATGAAAACATGAAGAGGACTCCCTACTATCCTAATTTCTAGGAGAGACAATTCATCATCTGGGAATGAATGCTGCGGCACACTTTGCCATAACCACAGAGGAGAAGTAAATTTCTAAATCACAATAGAACATGGGCTACAAGGCGCCAAGGGTTGGGGTGATGGAAGACCACCCCTCATCTTGTGTCTTTAGTTTTTACACAGCTCCGAGCCTAATGGGTGCTCACTTGTACTAAAACAATCACAGGATGCAAACCAGGGAACAGTCTCAATCCATTAGCACAAGCAATTGCAACCACACAAAATAGCAAATTCGCCATGTGCAGTGAGACTAGGATAAATAATGAAGGCATTTGTTTATGCCTACTTATGACATTCCTTGTAGGCAAAGGGGAAGAAAACAGCATTCTATGCCTGCAAAGGCAGCCAGTGCAGGCTCATCAAAAATACGCATTTGCTTTTGTAGTCAAAGAATGTGAGTCTGCTCTACCTCACCTCCTGACCTGGGCTCCTCTGATATCCATGTAATTTAAATGAGGAACTTGTTCTAGGGAGTCACCACATTTCAAAGAAGTGACCCTTTTTGAATATTGAAAGAATCCCCAGTGTTTGAGTTCACTCCTGGGTGAGGTGGTGTCACAGAGTTCTTGGGATGCCATCCAGAGAAAGACGACCTTGGAAAGTCGCCAAAGAAGTTGTTTACCTTGTCTTTTTGCTTGTTGTGCAAATGGGTCTCAGCTTTGGTGAGAAAACAAGCACATTTCAAGCTCTGTGGAAGTCAAAATTCCCCACTGCTGTCAAACTCTGACAAAGGAGTTTACTGTTCATTCTTAGAGAGGCTTGACTTGCATTATGGACTCTGTAGCTAAGACTCCTTCCAAACTGACCCCAAGCTGGTGTGCTTAGCTTTAAGGGGAAGCTGGGTCAAGGCATTTTATTTTGTTACTTTTCCTGAATGACTAGTTCCTCTGAGTTCCCTCATTTATTTATTTGCACGTACCCAACCCCCCCTACACACACACACACACACACACACACACACACACACACACACACACACACACCTGCTCTCCACCTTGCTGGCCACAGATCATATTTCAGGTAGTATTCAAGCATGGACTTCCAACCTGTCTGGAGACTCAGACACCTTCCCCCGTCCTGGAACCACCACTTTCTTAACATGCCCGTTGTCCCACACTAGGTCAGGTCTGTTGAGAAAAGTCCTGTCAAGTGGCAGACAATCAAAGAAGACTCACTCTTTGTGTTAGATTTAGCCTCTGGAAATTGGCTTCTATCTTGTGGGCAGAGAGCTTTGGGTATTTTCTCTGCTATTCCACTGAAAACAGCCGCCTTCCCTTTTATGGCAAAACTGGATCTAAAGAGAGAATATAGGGTGCCTAGTAAGAGACCAGATTCCTAAACCCCTCAGGTGACTGATCACACCTGTGGATCACACTTGCGGAAGCTTCAGATCGGGAGACCCACACACCAAACCCACCAGTTTTTGGGCCTTCCTTCTAGCCAGGACTCAAGCAGTGCCACGGTTCGGGAAAGCAAGGCAAACTATACTAGTGTTCTGACAGTGGTGATCCTCAGTGGGTTAGCACGAACCCCACAACTCTGTCTCTTTTGTCACCCCTAAAGCTCCATTTAAAAGAAAATTCTCAATGACTTGAAGCACCAAAAACTTTGTGAAAGACATTGCTCTCAGTAATAATGAATTTGTATACCATTTCTAATACGCCAAAGTAAGTTCACGTAAAAATACTTTTTATTCAAGATTTTCTGAGGAGCTGGGGAGAGTTTAGTCAGTGAAGTGATTGCCTTGTAAGCGTGAAGACCCGGGCTTGGTCCCAAGACTGACATAAAAAGTCATTCTCGTAATGTGTTCTTGTAATCCCAGTAATGGAGACGTGGAGACAGGAGGATCCATGTGGCTTGCTGGTCCATCTGCCTTGGCCTAGTCCAAGTTTCCGTGAGAGAGCTTGTCTCAAAAAAGAGTAAGGTGGGGCTCCTGTGGAGTGGCCCCTGAGCGAGCCTCTGGTCCCTTGCACTCACTCATGTATACATGAGTTATCACACACAGACACACGGACTCACTCAAGACATTTACTTAATGTATGTTAAGTCCTATAGCAACTCTGAGAAGCAAATATGATTATTTTCTCATAGCTAGCCCAGAGAGGGTAAAGAGTGGATCCCTGTCATGTGGGTACTTGTTTCTCTGTCCTTGCCTATGACCCCAGCTCCCTACTAGATCACTAAATTTTTGACAATCACTGTATGAGAGGGCTGGGGTGAGTAAGAGCTATGTTATAGACAGGAAATCAAGGTCACTCATAGACTTGAGCACAGATCAATGAGCAACTGAATTCCAGACTCATGTCTGCTGAACCACAGTGCCCATGATCACCTTGAGAGCGTGGCAGTGTCACTGAGCTTTCATCAATCCAGATTTATGGTTTTATTATGTATCAAGCACTATGTTGAATATATATTCTTTAAAAAAGAAAGATAGAAAGAAAGAGAGAGAGAGAAAGAAAGAAAGAAAGAAAGAAAGAAAGAAAGGAAGGAAGGAAGGAAGGAAGGAAGGAAGGAAGGAAGAATTGGAGCTTAGTGGGGACAAGTGTGGGAAGAAGACAACCCTATCTAGGTCGGAAGAACAATGGTGGCCACTTCAAAGGTGCGGTTGATGATGAGTGAAATTTGAAGTGAGTTAGGATTCCTGCATGCTCATCTGAATGTGTATAGGGGACCCAGTCACTAAGCAGACATCCAAACTCCAGCATATCAGTGAAAACCCACACAGATCCATGTGACTATGATAATCCAAAACACGCCGCTACACAGGAAAAGTTGGCAAGTCGAGTTTTGTCAAGTTCATCAGACATTTGGTACCAGAGTTGATGAAGTCTTTCTCTCAGAATAACCTAGCTGAGATACGGGAATGAGATGACAAATTGTCATCATTTTGCAATTCTTGATAAAATACTAGATTTAACCTGTAAAAGCTGATCATAAAATCACAATAGTAAGATTGAGAGTGAAGGGACTCATAAAGCATATGGGCAAACGGGTAGATCTCTACAGCAATCAGTGGCCGAATAAATGAAAAGAGTTATGAGAGAAGTCGAGATGAACAGCCGGTTTCAATAGGCCAGGCAGCTTTCATCCAAACAAACAAAATTTAAGGTATGTAGAGAGACCTTGGGCATAATCCACATCTAGACACCCTGCTCATACCTACCATTTAGAAGTTCCTATTTATGGCTATTAATACTCCAATTAAGCATATTTTATATTTTAAAATAGGAAGTTGAGGGAAAGAATTGGAAGAAACTATGCCTTTGCTTATATTTTTAAAAACCATCATATGCAAACCATTAAATTATAATTATAGAGGCTGGAGAGATGGATAAGCAGTTAAAAGCAAATATGCTCTTGGAGAGGACCTGAATTCAGTTCCTAGCATCCATGTTAGACAGCTCATACCCTCCTATAACTCCAGTCCAGGGGAATCCAATGCTTCTAGCCTTCATGGGCACCTGCATTCATATACATATACCTCAAAAATAAAATAAATTGTAAAAAACAAATTATAACTGTATATTTGTAATTTTTAGGACAACAAAAGTAATAGTCATTTTCTAAAATGCGCACACCATGAAACCCCACTTAAAACCATTCATATTATGTACTTTAGGAAAACAGGCTGCTTTTGCAGTAGCCATTTTTAATCTTTTACTGAAAAATTCCATGATAAAGTAGGGAACTTAAATTTGGGTTTGTCAGATTTCCTGAAGTGGGACCCCTCGGTAGACCCTCAGGGGCCAAGTCCATTCATGTCCTTCCACTTGTCAGGTCAGAATGGAGGGCCAGCAGGTCCTGCTGTCATTCCCATTCTTGTAAACACGTCTTTAGAGTGTTTGACTTGAAGACCTTGAAGTCCCAACCATTTGCCCAGCTGCTTGGATATGGGCCCTGCCAGGCCTGGGTCTTCAAGAGGGTCTCCTCAGTTTGGGATGACACCCTAGCTAACCGAAAGAGCTCACGGGACAAGAGAAGTGCTTCTCAGCAGCCTGCTTGGCAGCCTCGAGAACTCGAGGGGGTAACCTTAATGAGCACCAAATATTCATCTCTAATAAGAACATGCTGTCACAATCACCCTCCATGTGATAAATATCCTAGATTTTCTCTTTGTTAGGTTAATGCTTTTCCACAAGATAATTTAACTTTAACATTCTCTAAAAAATAATCACACGCTATCAGGCCCCAATATAGTAATATGGTGGGTTTTGTTTTTTTTTTTAATGTTTTGAATCCTGCCTTAAACAAATCCCATCCAAATAAATGCTCCTTTTTTTAGCAGGCACACAAGCTTGTGCTGTTCACTGTAATCAAGCCCCCAGCTGGCTAACTCTCATATAACAGTATATCTTCTTGATTTCATTTGAGCAAAATTTATCATCCACAAGCAAAGACAGAAAATGTGTGAACGTCTAAAGCTTATGTAAATTAAGAGGCCATGCACGCTGGTCCTAAAAATAGTAGATAATTATAGGCATTTCTTCCCCATACAATAATTATAGGCCTCCTGTCATCTTTTCTAGTCTGTATAAGGTCACAGTAGTATTATACAAAATTTACAGTATATTACAAGTTAAAAACACAATAATTAGCAACTGTGCATCTTCAGCACTGGTGATGAATGTTCACAGTAAAAGTTTAAAAAAAGAGCATTATTTGTTTTATGTGGACAGTACACACTTAAATTTAATCATCAACTCCTGATACCCAATAGGCAATATTCTCTTACTATTATAATGCTATTTGCCAAGTTCACAGTACACCCTTGGGTGGAATTCATCCTTAACGAAGTGACAGGAAGCCAAATCTCTCCCCGTCATCTCAACCAGGTGCACCATATTATTCTGAATTTAATAATTCTGTTGAATATATTGAATGATAATGAGCAAGTTAAGAGAAAGTCCTAAGAATTGTTTTTGACTGTTATGATCAGTGTCTGATTCAGGGGGGAAAGATCCTCTCACCAAATAATGTGGTCAGCAGTTTGCTTATATAGACTGCAGGACTGGAGACACGGCTCAGTTAATAAAGTGTTTGCCACACCAATGTGGGAACCTGAGTCCAGATCCCCAACACACACACATACAAATCCAGGTACAGAGTTCTGTGCCTGTAAATCCCAGTGCTGGGGAGCAGGGACGGCAGGATGACTGGGGCTTGCTGGCCGGCCAGTATAGCCAAATAGGGTAAGTTCCAGGTCTAGTCAGAGACCTTGGTACCAAAAAAAAACAAAGAAAAAAAAAGAGTAGAAAGCAATTGAGAAAAACATTGGACATTAAGACCCCCATTTGTACACACACACACACACACACACACACACACACACACACACACACACACAGAGAGAATTATAGGAATTGGTTCATGAGATTATAGGGTAGTCTCCCCTATGAAAGACAGAAACACCTGAAACCCGGTAGTATAATTCAGTCATTTATTATGAAGCCTGAAGTCCAAGTCCATAGGCTTGAGAAACAGGGAAGCCAGTGGTATTATAAGCCCTGGTTTGAGTCTGAAAAGCCCCCAAAATCAAAAGTGCAAATGTGTGAGGGCAGGAAAAAACAGACATTTCGACTCCAAAAGACTGAACTGGCCCTTCCTCTGCCTTTTTATTTTATTCAGTCCCTCGGTGGACTGGGTGATACTTACCCATCCTGCTGAGGACAATGTGTGTGGTTCTTGTTTTACACTTGCTCTGCTGATTCATAAGCTTCTCTCATCAGAAACACTGACTGTGCCATTCAAAGGATCTGGTAGAATCCATAAGCAATATGCTTTCGGAGAAAGCATTTGGTACCGGGATGCCTACTCACCATTCTCTGTGAAGTCACCTCGGTGTGACTACTGAGGGGTCGAGGGTGTCGCTCACAGATGAGAATGTGCCTGCTGCAGATGACGCCCTGGAATGACCAGCATGATCTGTTAATAAAGTCAAGGCAGAACTTCAGCCCTGGGGAGCTCTTGCCTGATACCAACATGACCCCCCTTTCATGTATTCCGTTAAGTGATCGACCCGTTTTCTCAAGCTGAGTGTTACATTAAGAATTTTTATCTGCATTCTCTTGTTTCCTTAATCCTCACAATCTCATAAAGATCTAACCATTCACATCTTAGGAATGAGAACACCGAGGCTTCCGTTCTTTTTCACTTCAGCACTCAATCTCACTTTTCCTAGCATTTTCTAACTTACGATTAGCTATTTGAAAAGCACAAACATATTTATTTACTAACCTAAGGCATGATCCAAGTCAAGCAACACTTTAAATAGTTGCATGTAGAATGCTTGTGATGAAAAGGCTTGAACACAGTAATAAAAAGGAAAGCAGCAGCAGCAGCAGGGTTGGAGTGACGGCGCAATGGTGAAGAGCGTGGGATGCGCCGCCCGAGGACCAGGTCTAGTTCTCAGCACCCACTGGCATCTCACAGCCATCTGTAACTCCAGTGCCAGGTGCCTAGAACCCTTTCTTGTCTTCCGCAAGCACAAAGCACAGACCTAGTGTGCGTCTATGCAAACATGCAGACGCTCTTATATACACACAAAAGAAAAAACCTTTTAAGAGCAGTAGAGAGACACCTGTCTACTGACTAAGCTCATTCATTCTTGGTGCAGAATTCCTGTGTAACATAGTGAAGACATTTTATTCTGTCTTTATAGATCCAAGTACAGATGCCTATGATGAAGCCCATCACTAACTATTATTGTTTTTCTTCCTATACTGCTAACACTGAGCCCGGGCTCCAGCTACGAAGCTCAGATGCTCTTAGTTTCTCTGCCATCCATGGTAATGTCTTAAAACCTCTCTCTCAAGATTTAAGCCATAGTCTGCCATTTTCAAACTGCCTCCCTGGTTTTTCTGTCACAAGTGACAACACAGTATGATTTAACCATCGTCTTAGTTAGGGTTAGTACTGCTGTGATGAAATACCATCACAAAAAGCAACTTGGGGAGGAAGGGGTTTATTTAGCTTGTATATCCTGAACCACAGGCCTCTGAAGGAAGTCAGGACAGGAACTCAAAGGGGTAAAGATCCTGGAGGCAGGAGCTGATGCAGAGGCCACTGAGGCACTCCTTACTGGCTTGCTCAATCTTTCTTTCTTTCTTTCTTTCTTTCTTTCTTTCTTTCTTTCTTTCTTTCTTTCTTTCTTTCTTTCTTTTTCTTTCTTCCTTCCTTCCTTCCTTCCTTCCTTCCTTTCCTTTTTTCTTTCTTTCTTTCTTTCTTTCTTTCTTTCTTTCTTTCTTTCTTTCTTTCTTTCTTTCTTTCTTTCTTTCTTCTTTTTGTTTTTCAAGACTGGGTTTCTCTGTGTAGTTTTGGTGCCTGTCCTGGATCTTACTCTGTAGACCAGGCTGGCCTCAAACTCACAGATATCCACCTGGCTCTACCTCCCAAGTGCTGGGATTAAAGGCGTGCGCCGCCGCCACCACCTGGCTCAGTCTGCTTTCTTATAGAACCCAGGACTTGTAGGGCATTTTCTTAGTGACTGGTGTGAGAGCTCCTGGCCCATTGTGGCACCACCTCCTCTCAGATGACTCTAGCTCGTGTCAAGTTGACCTAAAAACTAGCCAAGACAGCCATTATACTCATTTTTAATAGGGTTAGTTCCACCCCAATTCATTCATCCAATAAGCTTTGCTGTGTACCAGGTGCCATCTGGCCGCTGAGTGGCAGTGATGGGCACAGACGGTGGTGGGGACGACACTTAGTAAATACAAAACCCAAGCTCTCTCAGCTGCCTGTGGTTAGATCTTCCTGTTTGTCTAACGTCTCTGGATCAATTCTGCCAGGGAGAAAGCACTTGTTGTATTTTATAACCTTTTGCACAAGCCCAGAACAGTGCCTGCTACATATTTATTGTTGCTAAATACTTACTTGTTGAATAAATGACTGGATAGATGTTGTGATCTTGTAAATCATTTTGATGGGAATTGAGTATTTGAAATAAAACAATATGCAACTTAAACTAAACACCACACCGGTTTGGTTTTCTCTGTAGCCTTCTTGGTACTTAAACTATCTGAGACCTGGTCATGAGTGTGCTGGCAGCCCCTACAGGAACTGCCCTTTGATGCCTGCAGACCTGCTTTCTCTCGAGTCCTAGCTAGCTGGTTTCTGCAGAGCATCTTCTGTTGAGCCACTGGCCCTCATTTGTATTGAAAGTGAGAGCTACTTCCTAAAGTCAATCTAGATGGGACAGATATGTTCTTTTGACTTAATGATATAACATTTTATCAGCCCACATAAAACATGAAATATATGTGTTCGTTTGCTATCTGAGGAGCTTTTCTGATGTGTGTGCGGGAGCCAAGTCAGCAGCTAACTGGTGATCCTTTCCCGACACCCTTTCCCAAGAGTATTGCAAATACAAACATGCTCTATTTGAACAAGGCCAGTGACAGCAAAACTGCTTGCTGGTCTCTAAAGAGACCACAATAATGTTCACCGAGGGAGAGGCCCATAGTCTGACAGAGGGCTTTCCCCCCCAGTGTAAACCATAAAACCCATTTCAATAGCCAGAATATGGCAGTTTAAAGTTCATCCCTAGTTAATTACATCCAAAGAGTAATAATAAAATCATCTATTAAATTTTAGAACTTCCTCTTTAAAGTATTAGATATTTGGAAACTACAATGCAATTAAATTTCTCTCAGAACAATGCATTTTCTTACTCAAGCTGGCCTATAAGAATGCTCATGGAGCTCTTCCAACGAACAAATTGTAGCTAGAGTTTTCCTGCCTGGCCCACAATCAGGACAAATCTCTCTCACCTGCCAGTCCCACAGCCGCTCAGACCTGACCAAGTAAACACAGAGACTTACTTATATTGGTTACAAACTGTATGGCCGTGGCAGGATTCTTGCTAACTGTTCTTACAGCTTAAATTAATCCATTTCCATTAATCTATACCTTGCCACGTGGCTCGTGGCTTACCGGCATCTTCACATGCTGTTTCTCATCATGGCGGCTGGCAGTGTCTCTCTGACTCAGCCTTCCACTTCCCAGCTTTATTCTCCTCCTTGTCCCGCCTACACTTCCTGCCTAGCCAATGGCCAATCAGTGTTTTATTGATTGACTAATTAGCAACACATTTGCCATACAGAACATCCCACAGCAATAAATACTCTATAATATTTGACAGTGTACGATAGAAATTATGCAAAACTCAAACCAAATGTTTCTTGAGCCCTAGTCCCATGTTTGAGACCTTAACTCAGATCGGGGCGCTGTCTGGCCTTCACAGTCGGGTCACTGATAATGCCAGCCCCCCACTGGGAGAAGCATATGCTGCTCTCTGACACATGCTCCTCCTGGGCCAGGGCAGAAGACCTGGTCCCACAGAGACCACCCAGGAAACACTGACTGGGTTCTGGGCACACGGCTTACTCAGGACTCTCCTTTCTTTGTGTTTTTACTTTCAGATAGAAGGACTGATCTGCCCAGTGGAAGGGAATTCAGAATGTTATCTTTCAAGGCTGAAGACTGTGTTTGCCACTTATCTACCCCAGTACAATCTATCTCGCCTCAGTTTCCCGTTGAAGAGTCAACTCTCTAAGTCCACAAGCAAAACAGAGCAAAAACTCATTCCCAAAGAGGCAGTGGACACATAGGCCATGTGTGCTGGCTCCTCTGAGATCCTGAAGTGGAATGGATAACACGGAACTGTCTCTAAAGGTACAGGTTCAATTTGGGGGACACATTACTGAGCAGCTTGGGGAAATGAAGAAATGACATGGGCAGATCTTCACAGCCACTGGGCAAGTTTCCAGTGATCCTCCAAAATCAGATGCAAATAAATACCAGAGCATTCTCCTGAGAAAAACAGGGTCTACAAGGGTGTGAATGCAGGGGCCTGCTGCAGCATCCTTGAGAGCAGGACTCAAGGCATTTCTAGGAGTGTAGAGTAAAAGCAAATGACCCTTTTGTATTTCACTGTGGGGCCAAATAATGACCAAGCAATCACAAATGGACTCATAATTATAATTATGCCTGGTTTAACAAAGATAGTGACTTAAGTACTACTCTACACAGGACAGTTCATGGGAAAAGAGAGGAGGGGAATTTGCCTGAAGGAGCCTTAGACCAAATCCTTACTTAAACATTTATTAAAGGTATACTAGATGGCAGGTATGAGGCGCACTGGAGAAAGAGATTTACAAAGGAATCTCTGATTTCCATGAATACGATCATCTAGTTGTGTCCACAAATACACTCATTTGTGCCAGGTACTACAACAAAGCTAAATCCAGAGAGATACAGGAGATTCGTACCTTGACTCCACTCATGGAAGGCTTCACTGAAGAAACACCACTCAGACTTACCTGATGTTACAGAGGTAGGCATGGAACAGAGAGCAGTGTTACAGGAAGAAGTATCTTGAGCCAGCTACAAAGTGATGCATCTCAAGTATCATAGACCTGGAAGAAGTTCGCTGTGGCTGGAGGCCGCAGGGAGGCCAAATGTCTGCAAGGTTTGTGGGAATGCTACAATTGAGTCACAGCAGGGCTTTGTATGCCAAGCGAAGTTGTTTGGACTTGATCCTGTAAGTATCAAAGAAGGACTTTAAATAGATCAGACTGAGCTTTAGTTAGATCATTGGGATGTCAGTCTCATGGTGAATGGACCTACAGGTGGCCAAAGCCGGAGACAGATGAGTTAGGGAGCTGCTCATTCACTCACCCTGTTCCATTTTGAACATAGGTGAACCGAGACGATACACTGAGAACTTTCCAGAGGCACCTTGAGAGCTGGATGGCTGGGTGATTATGGTGGTGAGGACAGAGTCTGGAGAGACTTAGGAAAAACCACAAAACCTCATTTGTGTAAGCAGTTGAGTGTGGCAAGCGTGAGCTATTCTGCTCTTTCCACACTGTTTGCATCCAGAGGTAAGTTCCTGCCTGTCCTTGTTCCTGGGTGGCAAAAATTGTTTACAAAGAAAGTCTAATAAGCTCTAAGTTTGAGGAGGTTACTTGCCCCAGAAGCCCCGAGTCTCTGGATGGAAGTCCTGATGGACTTGAAAGCATGAGCATCTTCAGTGTGAGAAGGTGTCTGCTCCGCCTCCCACTGGATCTGAGGCAGAGAAGTGAATGCCTATTTTGATCCCAGTGTCCTTACCCCCTCTTAGGCCCTCTCATATCCCAAACCTCCTCTCTTACCCACTGTATAACACATATACAAAGCAGTTAGTCACACAGTATTTTTATCTACAAACTTGCTTCAGTCACCATTGCCCTCCTTTCAGACCTGGCACCCCAAAAGTCCCTGTGAAGTCACCCCACAGTGTTCCCATCCTCTCCTGCCCTTTGCATTATCTCCATACAATGTCATTCCTACCCAGCTTTCTTACATTCTTCTTTACCCCAGTCCTCCTGATAATGTTTCTTTAAGGGCTATTAGCACTCCCATGCTGGGTCCAGGCACAGTCCTAGGGGCCTCTACCAGGTACCAGGTGAACACGTGCATTTTCCATCTTATCAGAGGGGAAATACTTCTAAAGCCCTTAATGGTTCTGCCCATTTGTGCAGAAGTGCTCCTGGCCATCTCCAGCCACTAAATTAAAATGAGATATAAATGGCCTTCACAGCAAAGACTGGTACGGAAATTCCCAATCTTGCCCATTCAAGGATCTGGTGCTGAGTTCTTGCTAGGCTGAGTGTCCACTATGTGCTCCTGGTCTCTTTGTCTCTCTGCATACACATCCTAGCTCACAATTCTGCTGTGCTTTACAAACAGATCCTCAACTCCAGCCTAACCCTTCTCTAAAAGTCCCATCTCAAACTTTGATCTTTACCAACCCTCCAGAATGAACACTGAGCCCACTTTCCATTTCTAGTGGTTCAGAAGCCTTCTTTATTTTCCGATTCCCCTATAAGCACCATAGTTCTCCTGCATGTGCACCCCTAATGTTGGCAACCAAATATTTTATAGTCTCTGGGTTTCCACAGAGTTTAAGCAAGGAAATTGTCTAGTCTATCAGTTACTATTGCCATTTTTCCAATGATCTTGATACTTCTATGTTGTTGGACCTACTTTGGATCACCAGCTCCCAAATAATGACACAGAGACTTCTTATTAATTATGAAAGCTTGGCCTTTAGCTTAGGCTTATTTCCAATTAGCTCTTATAACCGAATTAACCCATATTTTTTAATCTACATTCTGCCACGTGGCTCAGTTACCTCTCCTTAGACTTGCTCCAAGTCTGCTGGTGAAATTTGCTGCACCTAGATTCCTTTTCCTCTTCCTCTCTCTCCCTGGGAATCCCACCTATCCTCTCCTGCCCAGCTATTGGCCATTCAGCTCTTTATTAAACCAATCAGAAGGCACCTTGGCAAAGATATATCTTCACAGTGTATAAAAAGATTATCCTACAACATTTCCCCCTTTTAGTCTAAATAAAAAGGAAGGGTTTTAACTCTAACATAGTAAAACTATATACAATAAGAACAATTATCAGGTAAGAACTACATTAACAATGTCCAGTCCATTTGTATTTGGCATATTTGGAGAAAATATTCTATTATCTATCCTATCTTTGCTGTGGGATGGTCTGTATGTCAAATGTGTGCTCTGATTGGTCAATAAATAAAACATTGATTGGCCAGTGGCCAGGCAGGAAGTATAGGCAGGACTAACAGAGAGGAGAATTGAGAGAACAGGAAGGTGGGGGGAGACACTGCCAGCCACCGCCATGACAAGCAGCATGTGAAGATGCCAGTAAGCCACAAGCCACATGGCAAGGTATAGATTTATAGAAATAGATTAATTTAAGATATAAGAACAGTTAGCAAGAAGCCTGCCATGACCATACAGTTTATAAGAAATGTAAGTCTCTGTGTTTACTTGGTTGGGTCTGAGTGGCTGTGGGACTGGCGGGTGACAGAGATTTGTCCTGACTGTGGGCCAGGCAGGAAAACTCTAGCTACATATCTTGATGAATCTGAAGTTTTATACCTAAACCACTTCCTATCATAATTTGTATTACCATCCTAAAACTATCGTTTTAGACCTTAAAACATTTTCTTAGATAAACGACTTAAGCTTTTATATCTCTCAACCTTTATAACCTTCACATCCCTTTTGGAAGTTTCTTTTTTGAATGTGGTAACAAAGAAAATGGTATAACTATCTAGTCTTCAACCCCCATCAGAATCCAAGAAGGATAAAATATTACCTGAGTAAACAAGAATGCAGAGCAAATAACTTCCAAAACTATAGAAATGACAGAGACAGCTGGCTGCCTGGACAGTCACCCAAGGTTCCTCTGCAATACTGGTGCATCTATCTTTGGCCTACAGGCCTAGAATATCTGAAAGACTTTTCTATGAAGCAGGAATTTTGAAGGACTGTCCTACCTTGCCTTGGCAAAGTTTGGCAGTCACTTTCTTTTGTGTCCTGCTTGTCCAATTTGGACAGCATATGGTCAGCAGTTGAGGCAAGGGCAGTTTCTTTGCCACATAGAACACAAACTCCCTATGGAGGTTCTTCTATGCCCATCATTCTTTTGGGAAGTAAATTGGTGCTGCCAGGAGCAGACATGTCTCACTGTCCTGAAAAGCCTTATATTACTAAAACATCTTAAATACCATATTCTGTAGGTCTCTGAAGTATTTCAAGAACACCTATCTATCTAAAATACATTTCTGATTGGCCTTGAAAACATACCTAACATGACTACAAGTTTGATTGTTATAGATGATTAACTACTAACCTGCATTTCCCAATTATCCTAAGCAGTTTATAATAATAGCTTTCAAGGACTAGAACTTTACATTACATTTTTAAAATTAGATGCATAGGTACAATACCTTAAACAAAAGTAGAAACATATATACAGTATGTATAATAATAATAACCTTAATTTTGTATCAATATACAAAAATCCATACCAATGTAAAATATTTGAGACTGGTAGTTGTTTTTTAGGTTAAAAGTAGATTCAATAACATACCTTTTTATCCTATCACTTCTATACTATATCTCCCCTTACCCCCTCAGAAAGAGATCCCTGAATCAAATCTCCTTTGCTTAGTTTCCTAAACCATGACCAATAACAATTTGTAACCAACCCCCCTAGATGATGATAAGCATCCATAATCCATTGAATGACCAAAAGTCACCCACCCCACTTCTCAGAAATGTGGGCATCGTGTTCTTTAGACCATTTCCTGTTGTCTGGGGTGACAGCATCTTTAGGGGATCTTGAGAAAATCGAGATAATAATCAAGTCCTGTGAGAGCTAACTGTACCATTTGTTGTCCAGTGTCTGTGTATGGGGAAGTGTAGAGCTTCTCTGAAGTCCTGGCTGGAGTAGTCGATGAGGCTGGACCATCTCAGCTAGCACCTTTGAAGTTGTTCTGGATGTAGAACTCTGAGGAAACTGCAACAGAGGAATTCTGAAAGGCTGCATCACTTGGGCTACTTGTCTTTATTGGTGTCTGGTCTTTTTTTCTGAAAACACGCAAACCTTTAAAGGTAAAATACATATCTGTATTAATATAAGTATGGAATGTGTGATGTGCCCAAATCAACTAAAAATAATTCTTTTGTTTTATGTTTGAGCAGGTAAAAGGCATCTGTTAATTTTATAAGTCTATTTGGATTATATAACCAAACCTTTATCCATGTCATATGAAAGAATGGAATGTGATAATAAGTCATGTGGACTCTGTAGCCAACAAGATTTATCATATCTCATCTGGTCTCAAAGCTGTTCCCATGTAGAGGGATCAGCATATATATCAACTTGGCTTTTTTCTTCATGTCTGCAGCCAAGATTCTCAGGTGGTCTCCCTCAATCAAATCTGATCTTTATTAATTTTGAAGGAATCCATAGCTTTTTGTTTCCCATGGAAATAAGAGCAAAACTTCTCCCTCAATGCAATATATGTTTTGACTTCCATTTTGAAGTTAAGACATTCTTAAAATATATAGGTTGTTTAATTTAGCAGTTTTCATAATCCAGTGTCTCTTAGCAGCTATTGTTTTTTGTTTATTAGCATTTAAAAAATTCAAAGTCAACAAAACACCACACAGGATCCAGCCACCCTGTGTATTTCCCATCTTTATGTGGCTTACTTTTTTTTTTATTATTTTACTCTCTTTAAAGACTTCATTTTATTATTTTTAAACTATTTATTTTTATGACTATCTATACCCATTTTGTTTCATTTCTTTAGCTTCTAAGCACATTTTTAAGCACACTGTAATCTGTTCCGAGGTTTCTTGGCCTGGACCTGACTTTAAACATGTCTGTAGCATTTTTTTTCACCACCTGAACCAAACCTTAACTTGCTAGACTCTCCACCGAATGGATAGCTCAGCACATGGCCTGGCGGCTGGCTCTGCCCTCTTTAGCCTGACTGTTCCATCTGCTCCCAACTGTCCCAGCTCTGGGAAGCTGCCGTGTCCGCAATGCGGTAGGCGTTTTTACCTAGTATGCTGGCTGCTCAAGTGTTCTGCTGCACAGCAGGGCCTTTTCAAGGAGCCACATGAGCAGTGAGCCTACTCCAGAGACTGGGTTGCCAGAAAGCCTTCTCAGGCCTTACGTGAATTTACATGCTGGATATTGGGTGCCAAATGTTGTCAGACTTTCTTTGGATTGCCAGCTCCCAAATAATGACACAAAGACTTCCTATGAATTATGAAAACTTGACCTTTAGCTTAGGCTTGTTTCCAACTAGCTCTTATAACTTAATTAGCCCATATTTTCTAATCTACATTCTGTCACGTGGCTCGGTTACCTCTTCCTAGTATGGCTGGTCTGACTTTCTCCTAGTCTGCTGGCATAATCCATGTGCATAGATTCTTCTTCCTCTTCCTCTCTCTCCCTGAGAATCCCACCTATCCTCTCCTGCCTAATTATTGGCCATTCAGCTCTTTATTAAATCAATCAGAAGGCACCTTGGCAAAGACATATCCTCACAGTATACAAAAAGATTATTCCACAACACTTCTAGTTTAATTCAATAGCTACCTATTTTGTTCAGTCCTGTGTGTGTTCATCCTATACGTCATTCCTTGAAGGTCTCAGGAACATACACAGACTTCTCATTAAAGTCATCTTTTCCAAACACATGTAGGCTTAGCCTATGATTTACCTGGCCTAAATCAGTCTCATGGGTGCTTCCACAGGCCGTTGTTGCTGGTCATCAGGTGGCTCCGCTTCTAGGATTGACTGACCATTGACTGGGGAAAGGAAGACAATGAATTAAATAATACAATACCAATGGCTAGCCTGGACTTATTCACCACCCTTGTTCAAGGTTTCAAGAGGAAATGTGTAAAAGCCAAAAAAAAACCAAAGAATTTTCTTCATGTCTTTGCCCAAAACATGTTTGTTTCTGTCTTATTGATTAAAATAGATCCTATGGCCAAGTTCATAGTTAGTGTAGGGGAAATACCACTAGAAGGTGTAGATATGATGCAAAGAAGGAAAGAAAAAGTAGGCATCTTTGCAGTGACTACAATTAGCCAACCTGGGCACCTAATCTACATGACTTTCAATTCGCTGGTATGGGCTCTCCATGGAACACCTGAACACTCGCCAGGAAGCTCTGGTCAAGATGTTTGTATTAGTCAGTGACCCAGGAAAGCTCGAGCACATTCCTGAGAGCCAAAGGATGGATGCTCTGAGTCCTGCTCAATCAATCAGGCAAAGTAAATTCCCCCTTTCTTGACCTTCTCCTTCTAGCCAATATCCAGCAGACCAGCTAGCATCCACGTATGCTGGGAAGGCAGTCTGCTTTAGTCAATGCACTAATTCAAATGCTAATTTCACCCAGAAATACCTTCACAGATGGACAAAGGAATAGTGCTTAATCTGTGTGCCCACGTGTCAGTCAAGCTGACACAAAATCAACTTTCATGATTTCTAATGAGTACTTTCTAGTCCACAATCATCTAATCTTTTCTGAAATGGCTGCTTGGAAAGTAGCATCAGAATTTGTTAGGTTCTCTGAATATCCAGAAAGACTACTGGTCACTTCCTTGCATTCCATCACTGCATGTTACAGAAGTGTAATGCTATAAAAGCCAGACACAGTCTCAGGGACACCCAGCAGGACTCCTACTGGATAGTTCTTGTCTGCAAATACGAAGACTCAAGGATGCCACTCAGGGCTCACTCCACCGTGAAGTCAGCAAAGGACCGTGAGTCACTACAAAAGCCACATAGACTCAGCTGTTCAAGGATGGATCTGTGCTTCACAACTGTTACACACATTATTGGGTGTGTCTCCTCTGTAGTGGTGGAGGTTAGGGCAATAGGATAGTGAGCAAGGCAATGCACATGGAGAATAAGATATGGCTCCAGACCCAGGATGCTTCATAACATTGGGAAGAAAAGGGATGCTGGGACACTGATGGAGCCAAAGCTGATGGTGTTGTGCCACCAAGAGCCGCTGTGGGTCTTCAGTGATGAGAGTGCTCTTGGTGGTCCAGAGTCACCAAGCAGGCATTACAGGATAGGAAAACTTTGGAATTAAAAAGGCTTTGAGAAAGGAAAAGGGAGGTTACCAGGCATCAGAGCATAAGAGAGACAAGTGTAGTAACAGTAGGACCAAGGCTAGCCATCTGGAACAAAAGGGAGGTCAGTTGGAGACGGATAAGCACTATGGAGTGAGATACGGTTGCTTTGACGCCTACACGACAGAGTCTTTGTTTAACAAGGATCCACTTGTGATCTTAATAAGTGGATAAGGGAAGTTTTCCAATAAAGAGCATGGATTTGGTGACATCAAGTATCAACAGAAGTAATCAACATTAAGTTGAGTACTAGTCAGGAGACTATTAGCGTAATTCAGGTGTGGGTCCAGGTGAGCTGAAACAGAGTCTGGAAAGAAGGTCGGACACATTCCAGACACAGGAGGAAGAATTAATGTCTGTTCCATAGGAAGGTACCTCCTGTAGTTTATTTGGGGGAAACCTGTCCATTCCTGGTGCACCATGGCAACTTGCCAAGAGGGAAAATAATTTTAGTGTAGAAGACCAAAGAAGAAGGTTGGTCACATGGCTCAGTGTGGGAAGGCATTAGCCAACGAACTTGATGACCCAGGTTTGATTCCTGGAATCTACATGGTGGAAGAAGAGAACCAAATTGTCCCCTGAACTAAACACACACACACACACACACACACACACACACACACACACACACACATGCACGCACGCACACATGCATGCACACACGCGCAAATGTGATGTAATTTAAATACTTTTAAGTTCAATAAGGAATTTGGGACTTATTTTTCTGATCATTTGGGAGTAAATTCTTAATATCTCCCATTCAGTGTTTTTAAGTGTAGTACAGAGATTACTGTGGGACTGAGAAAATGAAACATTTCTGATAATTTTGTTGTCAGTCTGATACAATACCAAGTTACGTGTTCGATGCCAGACCGACAGCAGACAGACTTCCCAGCACCTCACTCAGCATCCCCAGGACTGATGTTCCTGTTAGTGTCACTATCACAGAATTCAACATTATTTCTGTTTCTAATCAAAGGAAATTAGCAAGGTTATGCAACTTCCCAAGGCTGCTCACTCAGTAAGAGACAGAATTTGGACCCATATCTTCCCACTTCAAAGTCTGCTCTTTCCCCAGTTGAAGACCATTCAGCACAACTAAGTGAAAGGAGGTTTTTACCTCTTTAAAGAATCAGAATTAAGGGATCAAAATCTTAGGTGTTTGTTCTCTGTAGAGGATCAGAATTTTAGGATATGCAGGGTGTGGTGGCACATGTATTTAATCCCATCACTAGGGAGGCAGAGGCACACCAATCTCCGAGTTCAAGGTTAGCCTGGTCTACAGAGCTAGTGCCAGGACAGCCAGGGCTACACAGAGAAACTCTGTTTAAAAAAAAAAAAAAAAAAAAAAGTAAAGCAGAATTTGAGGGTACAGGCTGATGAGTCCTGGCATTTCCTTAATGTAACAAGTTAAGTCTTTATTTAAGGGATAGAACAATTTGCAATTTTCTTCCATTGGTGGGCTAGGCAGATAATAAAAATGATAGCAAAGGTCATTAAAATTTATGTGGAAACTAGCACAGATCGGAAGAACTACAAAGTGAATTCTTTAAGCACAAGAGAAGGGTGGATTTTTTTTTTTAAGCACAATATGAAAGACAACTCCTTTGGCCTCAGATGCCTAAATATGCCATCAAAAGACTGCCTGATTCTCAAACTCTCAAATGCCAGTTTTTTCCTGATGCCTCTAGAACTTACTCTTTATGTAGAGCATCAAAGCCAGCGGGATGGTAGGTGTCCCAAAATGTCTTAATTCAGAGAATTAGTGTTAACTGAGCCTGATTAGCTCCATTTATCTCTAATTAATTACCTTTATCTAATTAGACACTTTGTTTCCAGTAGACATGGAGTCAAGTAGACTAGATTATTAGTGCAGTCATTGTCCCTTTACAAAATCCTGAAATTAATGAAACGTGCAAAAGAATCTGCAGTTCTAATTGCACAGGTGTTGCCTTATGGCAAAGCTTTATCATCTGATTACACCAAGGGATTATTAGTGACTTTTATATAGAGGACGAGCCTATGAAATGCGCCTTAGCAACAGCTCATTAGTTTAAGGTTGTTACTGTATTATTTATTACATTCAGCCTTCCCCATTATCTAGATTGATTCATGGACCAATATATTTTTCCTCTGTGCAGAAAAAATAAAATAAAATAAAACCATCATTATGAAGAGTCCAGATGCAATGTTGAAAAATGCAAACTGCATTTTTGTTCATCAGCTACGATCTGATGTTTTATGACAAAAAGACTCAAGTTACACGTGATCAGAGTCAAGTTCATAGTTACTTTCTATGGAAAAGGAACCTATTAAAATTACTGAGTAATGTGGGAGGATTAGGACGTTTGTTTCGAACAATGCGTGGATCTCTCAATGTTTTCACCTACCTGAACTGACACATCGAAGTGGAAAGGAAAAACCAAATTTGTTTGCATTAAAATATACTTGTATTTATTTTCTCTCTGTGTCTTCCCAAAATAGATTGATAAAACATCATCTCTATGTGTTGCATGACAATATTTATAAAAATCCATCTGTTTTATATTTTTGTTTCTTATGGCTAGATTCTGAGGACAGATGGAGAAAACTAACAAATTACATAATCTGGTTTAGCTGAAAACAGCAAAATTTCAGTGCCTGCTTATAAAAAGGAAAAGTGCTTTTTCATGGCAAAGTTAGGCATACACACACAACTACCACATTTCAGCCTTCAGATCTGGGTGCCTTTTCTCATAACTATTGTAAGCAGCACTGTTTCTCACCATCATGGAGTAATTAAGCAGCTAGAAGCAAATCCTGCCAGGATTCCATCCCAACACATAAACAAGTTTATTGATGACACAGTAATTCCTTTAAATAATTTGTCAACGTAAGTATGTCAAATGAGGTTTTAGAATCACTTCTCTCCCTGTTGCCCAGCCTCCCCCCCAAATCCTCTATTGCTCTGAGCCATATACTGCCTGCCATTCACATATTGCTGAACCTAAACTAGTGAAATGATAACGGGTAACTGTTATGTAGAGCATGACAGCTAATTTGAGTAGTAATAATGAATATTTAATGATCTTCCTTTCAAGCATGAACATATAACTTTTCATGTGTGCCTTACTAAAATTATAACCATTAATCTAAAAATTATTGTTGCAACTGAAATAATAGCCAAGAATTATAGATTATAGCCAAGTCAGAATACTGCACAGATACTCTGTACAAACACAGATCACACATGTAGAAGGCTGTAGCCTTCTGTTCTCATTCAATCCAAGACCTTGCTTTGAAAAGTACAGTTTTGTGATTAGTAGAGTTCTGAGTCTAGCTACAAAAGGCCAGCATTTTAATCAAGAAATAAACATAATAGTCAATGCCATTTTCACTCCTCCTTAGATTTTGTTTAGACAATAATAATGTCTAAATAAAAATAACATGTATATAAAGATGTGGCCCCATAGATGTAGTATTTTTAGGATGTTTCACCCAAATCAAAGAAAGGACAAACAAAATTTATCAGAAAGGTAGAAATTTTATAAAATAAATTTCATTTTTAAAAAATAATGTGGGTTGTTTTTCCCAGTATGTACAGTATCTACAGGAACCACAGTGTGACTTTGGGAAAAAGAAAATCTGGAAAATGCATGAAGCTCTTTAAAATGGGCTTTGTGCATTGATGGAATTTTTTTAATTACACTTCTAAGTTATATCACTCCTGGTATCTCCATAAGATTTGAATAATTTCATATGCCTGAAATATTGCAGAGAAACATATCCATCTCCCTTGTTGGTTGGATCTGCTTTCATTGTTACAGGAAAAGTGAAAACCAATGTCACTGTGGTTGCAAGTATACAGTTCTAGTGAATCTTAGCACATGCTGTTAATGTTTTTAAAAGTGTGGTGTGTGCTTACCAAATTCAAGGGGGAAATGGCTTAATAATGTGAGGGCAGCACCAAGAAAAACCCCAAGTTTCTCCCTTTGTAATCTTTAACAGACATGCAGTGTCTAACCAGGGTGGTTCACACCTTTAGTTCTAGGACTGTTGTGGGACTGAGCAGGGAGAGCAGGGTTCAAGGTCAGCCTGGATTACACCTCGACACCTTGTTAAGGGGCACAAGGTGAAAAGAGAGGGGAGGGGAGGGGAGGGGAGGGGAGGGGAGGGGAGGGGAGGGGAGAAAAATAAAATCAAGGTCTAGCTGAATGGTGCACCATGCGGGTACCCAGGCCATGAACACGGTTCTGCCTCTTCAGGACTCCAGTCCAAAGGACAAAGGCAAGTGTCTAGGGACACAACCTCCAACTGTGTGCCGTCACTGAACACATCCTAACAGAGCAGGTGTCTTAGCCAAAGCCAGGCTAGGGCAGGTGAGAAAAGCAGTCACAGACCCCCTTGCAGCAGAGACGGTGCTTCAGCTGTAAGATGGCAACAACCTCAGGCCACCCGTGTGAGGACCTGATGGAGCTTCGTTTCTTCACCTTGGCGGCCTTGCTACTGCTTCCACTCAGATGTGGTCTTTGTCCGTCTATAGTTTTCTGGCTTGCCATGCTAGGTTTCTCTTCATAGCAGATATTTATAAAGAAATCCACACCAGTTAATTATACCCAAAATAAACAAGTTTATTTTGTTATGTTGCATATACACAGACAATACATTGGTAATGAACATACATCCGTTCAAATACTGAGAAATTTATCTATCTTTTTGTTTACTGTGTTTGGTGGTTTCTTTACCACATCAAATTTCAGTGGAGGAGCTTTGGGTTAAATTCCCTAGTACCCAGTAGTCCTGAACCAATGTAGAGCATAGTGGAGGGATAAAAGAAGAAATGATAGACAGCAGAGGACAACGGGAAAGTGAAGAAATGGGGGTGTTTCTTAAGGGAAGGGGAAACGCGCTTGTGGACTGTGAGAGAATAAAGCTGTGGTCGGGGGTGTCTGAACACACAGAACAGCAGTGCTGTACTAAAACTCTGTTTGTTTATTAAGCTGGCGGGTAAATGTGAAGGGTAGGCACACAGAATGAAACATGGAACCAAATGTGCCCACATACCCTCTCTTGTTCAAAAAGTTGTCTGCAGAGTATCGCAAAGCCTCGTCCTCCTCCTCGTGGGCCTGAGAGGTCTGCTGCCAGGCTCTCCTCAGCAGCACTGTGGGGTGGGGACTAATTGCCCCCGTAAATCACCGGGCACCACTGTGCTGCTCCGCTTACTTTTCTGACAGTAATTTAGTGCGTGCTCTTTCCCACACTTGTCATTCCATGTTTTTCCTCACATTAGAAGCCTGTAGAAAAAGGACAGTAATTAACGGAGCAGTACGCACTCATGGAAACTCTTTCATCATATTGTGATAATTGTGCTCCTTGTCTGTCAGGGAGACCTCTCAGTTTCCAAGCTTCACACAGCACTATTTGTCAACTCTAAACTCGAGACACTGAGATTTGAGTGGAAGTGAGCTGCTCCAAACCAGCTTTCTTATTTGTCCAAAGAGGAGGTCATTTATCCTGGCAATGTGTCAAAATTTTTTAGTCTGATCCATACAATAAGATGAAAGTCATACTGAGGAGCCACCTGGATTCTCCATCATTGGGAGGGTCTGTGGATGGGCAGTCGAGAGTCTGGGAGAAGTGAGAAAGGGTGTGCCTTCTGAGACACGGCAAACAGCAACCACATAGCTTTAGAGGGAGGGGCCTTTTCCTCATGGGATGCCAGAGGGTCCTTCCAGCATCTCTTTCCGAGTACTCAGAACAACCCTCAGCTCTTTGTGTGTGGGAT